TGTTATGTTAATAAGGTGACTTTGAACCCTACCTAAGGATAGGGGCTGGTTGTCAAGGGAACCAACCAGTACCTAGAGGTTGAAACTCTCAGCCCCACCCCTCCCTCAATCTTCACTCAGTGAAGAGGCTGGAAGTTGAATCAATGATTTAATCAATCACAACATGGTGATAAGGCCTCCATAAACACCCAAAGGGGCAGGGTTCAGAGAGGTGGAGGCACATCGAGGGTGCTGGGCTCAGAGAGCAAGGAAGCCCCCAGACCTTCCCCTTGCCTGGCCCTGCGCATCAGTCAGTTCCTGAGTTACATTCTTTTATAATGAACCAGTGATCTAATGAGTAAAATGTTCCTGAGTTCTGTGAGCCACTTTAGCAAGTTAAACCAACCCAAGGAGGGGACTGCAGGAACCTCTGATTGATCGCAGTCGGTAGAAGTGCAGGCGACAAGCCTGGCCTGATGCCGGGTGTCCACGGTGGGAGAGGCGGGCGCGCACCCTTGCCGGGCTGAGCCCTTCGCCCGTGGCATCCATGCTCTCTCTGAGCGTGTTTGTGGATGCGGGGGAAACACCTCCACATTGGAAACTGGGGCTCAGAACACCAAAAGTGCCCCTTATCCCTGATGTTTCCTCTTAGTAATCTTCCATCCACTGACCCCCAACCCTGCTCCTTGGCTACAAACTCCCTCTTGCCCATGCTGTGTTTGGAGTGGAGCCCAATCTCTGTCCCCTACCGTAAAATCCCACTGTGGTGATCCCTACACCTACCACCACAGTCCTGGATAAAGTCTGCCTTACCATCCTTAAACAAGTATCATTAAATAGGTTTTCTTTAATGATACAAAGAAACACTTAACAGTATACTAGGTACATCAAAATGGGAGTTCTAAAAAATGTTCAGGTAACTCATAAGAAGGCACGAACAAGAAAACAGAGAAACAAAAAACAGAACAAACAGGGGAAAGACGGATTTGGGCCCCAATGTGTCAATACTTATGTTAAAATACAAATGGTCTAAATACACCGGTGAAAACACAGCAACTGGCAGTGAATTAAAAACTATGACTCAACTACAGGCAGGTCTGGAAGACACTGCAGGTGCGGGTCCAGACCACTGCACCGAGGCAGATGTCACCACGAAGCAAGTCACAAGAACTTCGCAGATGCCCACACCATGTGAAAGTTATGTTTACACTGCCCTGCAGTCTGGTCAATGTGCAACAGCACTGCCTGAAAAACAGCATCCCCTGAGCCCTCAGCGAGCGATGTGTTTGCTGGTGAAGGTATTGCCTCGATGTTGATGAAAACACAGTGTTTCCAAAATGCAGTAAAATGAAGTCTGCCTGTATCTGCTATTAAAACAGAACTCACTTCAAATAAATAAGTAAATAAAATAAATGAAACTCACTTCAAAAACAATGATGTAGTCAGGTTGGAAGTAAAAAGAATGGATAGTATATGTTATGCAATCATTAATCAAAAGGAAAAGAAGTAGCTGTATTAGTACCAGGTAGACTTGAGCACAAAGAAGATGAAGAAGGACATTAATAATAATAAATGGGTCCACCCCCCAAGGAGGCATTCCTAAACACACACGCAAACATGCAAACAGCAGTTCTAATGCATGTGCACCAAACAGAGATCTTAAAGGATCACTGCACTTGGAGATGGCAAATCCTCTCACAGAAACTGGAAGAACAATCAACTACTCAGAAACTCAGCAAAGATACAGAAGAACTCAGTAGCACCATCAACCAATAGACCCTAATCAACATTTATGGAATAACCAACAAAAACAGAATATATGTTCCTTTCAAAAGTCAACAGAATATACAAGACAGACCACAGATTGGGCCATCAAGGTCCCTGAAAGAGAAGAAACCCCCAACAATCTGAAATAATTAACAGTGTGTTCTGTGATCACAATGGAACCAAACAACAAACCAATAATAGAAAGCTTCCCAGACCGCAGACCAGGGGGCTCAGTTGGTAGGGTGGTGTCCCGCAAAGCAAAAGGTCACCGGTTCAATTCCTGGTCAGGGAATATACCTGGGTTGTGGGTTTAGTTCACAATGGGGTGTATGCGAGAGGCAAGCAATCGATCTTTCTCTCCCTCTCTTTCCCCCTCCCTTCCCCTCTCTCTAAAAGTAAATAAATAAAATATTTTTAAAAAAATAGAAAGCTAACAGGAAAATCTGCAAGCCTTGGAAATTAAACTACACACTTCTAAATGGCCCTTCGGTCAAAGAAGACAGCTCATGAAAAATACAATACACTGAAATGAACAAAAATAAAAAACGCATATTACTGTTTGTGGGCTGTAACTAAGCAGTGCTAAGAGGGACGTTTATAGTGCTAAGAGGCCTGCATTAGAAATGCTTACACCAGAAGGCAGTCTCAAATCAACAATGTAAACTACTTCTGGAACCTACAAAGAGAGTGGTAAAATAAACCCAAAGCATGCAGGATGAAGGAAATAATAAAGATGTGATGGAAAAAATCAATAAAATTGAAAACACAAAAACATCAGGGAAAAAAATCAGTGAATGAACTAGCAATGAGCTAGTTCTTTGGAAAGATCAATAAAATTGACACCTCCAGCAAGACTGACAAGGAAGAGAAAGAGAGGGTGCATCTCCAGCACCAGGGATAAAGCGGAGCCATGGCAGGCAGATCACGCTGCGGACAGGATGGCGAAGGGATACCACGAACTGAGCTCTGCGTGCGCATGAATCTGACAAGACGAAACCACGAGCCACTGCGGCTCATCCTCGGCGAAGCAGACAGTGTGAAACACCCCAGAGCCAGAAAGGGGGTGGAACCCACAATTAAAATACCACTTCTGCTATGCCCCCTGTAAGCCTCCAAGGTCATATGGTTTCACCAGAGAATTCTACCAAATGTTGAAAGACTTAACACCAATTCCGCACAATGTTACAATGTCTTTTAGAAGGCGGGGGGGGGGGGGGGGACGGATGGGGGCACTTTCAAACTCATCTTGAGAAGCTAAGCATTCACACCAGAGCCAGACAAAGGCGGTAAAGAAAACCACAGACCAAAGCCCCCAGAATGGATGCAGAAATCCTTAACCAAATAACAGCCAACAAAACTCAGCAATATATAAAGGGATTTTATATCATGGAAATAAAGAGTTGACTCCTGGGGATGCAAGGCTGGTTTAGTATGTTAAAACCTCAGTCAACATAATCCACCATATTAACAGCCTAAAGACAATTCACATGCTCATCATAAACTGAAGCAGAAAGACTTTGACAAAACTCAATACCCATATACAATAAAAACTCTGAGAACTTTCTCCACTTGATAAAGAAAATTTACAAAAACCACCCTGGCTGGTGCGGCTCGGTGGATTGAGCGCCGGCCTGCGACCCAAAGGGGCCCAGCTGGTTCCCAGTCAGGGCGCGCGCCTGGGTCGCGGGCCTGGGTCGCCCTAGGGGGCGCACACGAAGCAACCACACGCTGATGTTTCTCTCCCTTTCTCCCTCACTTCCCCTCTGTCTAAAAATAAATAAATAAAATCTTTTAAAAAAAACTCTATTTCTTAAAAAACAACACTTATAGCTAACAGCACATTCACGGCGAAAGATGGACACTGTCTACGACCAGGACCAAGGCGCCGCCTAGGACCCCTGCTGTTCAACACGAGGCTGCGCATTCTCGCTCATGAGATGAGTTGAGAAAAAGAAATAAAGGCACACACACCAGAGAGAGATATAACTGTTCTTATTTGCAGTTGACATGACTGTCTACAGAGAAGATCCAGCACTACTTAAAAAGAAACAAATACATAAAAAATCCTCCTTAAACTGGTATGTAAATCCAGCAAGGTCACAGAATACAAAATAAATGTACAAAAATCTGTTGTTTCTTATACTATACATCATCATATTGTCAACAAAATTAAAAATGTAATATCATTTGCAAATTGCTCAAAAAATCGAAGTACTTAGGTGTAAATCTAACAAAACAATTACAGAACTTGTATGCCGAGAACCACAAAGCAGCGAAGAGAGAGAGGAGGAAGGTGAATGGCGAGACCCACCGCAGTCACAGGTCACTAGACTCGGACGGTGAAAATGTCTACTCCCCAAACTCGCGCACAGCCCGACAACGCGCTTACCACAGTCTCAGTGGAAGTTTGTGCACACAAGGGCAAGGTTATTCTAAACTGCATACAGAAAGGCAAAGAGATGAAAATAGCCAAAGTAATTTTGAAAAAGAATAATAAAATAAGAGGAAAGGGCCTACCCAACTTCTAGGCTGACATGTACAGCTATGCATTCCTTAGTGGAGAGAAAGGCAAACACATCAATGAAACAACAGAGAACCCAAGAATGAACCACACAAATACACTCAAGTGGTTTTTGACAAAAGAGCAGAGCTTTTCAGGTGGGAAAACAACTGGACGTCCACTAGCAAAAAACAAAACAAAACACCCAATAACCTGTGACCTAATTCTCCACCTTATACAAAAACTAGAGATCATAGACTTAAACGTGCATGGGTCACAGACTGTGGACATAAATGTATCTTGAACTTAAATGTAAAATGTATAACTAAAGCAAAAAACATAGGAGAAAAAAAATCTTTGGGATCAAAAACTAGGCAGTCAGACTTCACACCAGAAGCACGATTCTTAAAGGGAAAAACTGACAAACTGCACTTAAGCCAAATTAAAAACTTTTGCTCTGCTAAAGACCCTGTGAAAATGCTGTGATGATAGGAAATATCTGCAGAACATACAACCAACGAAGGACAAATATGTGGAGTATATAATGAGTTTTCAATACTCAACAGTAACAAAAGCAAATGGCCCAATTAGGACATGAGCAAAAGTCATGAAGACGAGCTCATAGAGTGGACACAGAGACAGCAGAGGAGCACATGAAAAGATGGCCCACTTCATCCACCACACAGAAATGCAATTTGAATCCTAAGGAGATGTCACTGTGCATCTATCAGAATGGATAAATAAAAAACCGTGAAAGCCAGCCAATAAGTCTGCTCACCTGAATGGGTTTCTGCAGAACTTTAGAGAGAGTTGGCAAGAGTCAAGCCACAGTATAAGCTTTAAAGACACCGAAGTCACTAAGCTCCCTGAAAATGGCTGTAAGAAAAAAATTAAAAATAAAATAAAAAGCAGTGATAACACCAAATGCTGGCGAAGACGTGGAGAATGTAATGGGAATGTAAAATGGTATGTTCACTCTGGGAAAAAGATACGAGACAACCCAACAACTGCATCGCTGGGCCTGTGTCCCCAGAGAAATCGAGACTGATGCTCACACAAACGTTACAGCAGTGTTATGCAGAGTGCCCCGAACCAGAAACAGCCCAGGTCTCCTTCAGCAGGGGCGTGGTTCAGCAAATCGGGTCCATTCATACCACGCGGTCTTCCTCAGCAATAAAAACGGAACAGACTTCTGACACATGCCCAACAGTGGTGGAAGCGCCACAGAATTATGCTTGTTGAAAACAGCCCATCTCCCGCCTCGTTCATGTTCCTGAAACAACAACACTATCAGATGGATAACACCCCGGAGGTTCACAGAGACCAATGGAGCAGTGGGCGCGGTTGTCAAAGGCAACAGGAAAGATCCTTCTGAAAGCGGACATTCTGTATCCTGTGTATTAATGTCCTGTGACCCTGCATTGTACTTCTCCAAGACCTTACCGTTCATTGTAAAGAGCACAAAGGGTCTATTATTTCTTACAACTGCAAGTGAATCTGCAATTACCAAATAAATAAAACTTTACATGTACCTGTGTTCAAAGCAGCATGATTCACAGAAGCCAGAGGGTGAAAGCCACCCAAGTGTCTACCAAAGAACGAATGGGTCAACACAGTGGCTTACACGCACGCCGTGGAACATCAGTCAGCCTGAGCGAGGAAGGACATTCTGACACATGCTACACCGTGGATGAACCTTGAGGACACTATGCTGAGGGAGACCGGCCAGACACAAAAGGGCAGAAGCTGTGTGACACCACTTATGCCCGCTCTCCAGAGTGAGGGGACGGTGGCACCAGGGCCGGCCGGAGGTGTTGGGGGCACGGGGACTGACCACCGAATGGCTGAGGAGTTTCAGCCTGGAAAGATGAAAAACTCCTGGGGACCGGCTGCACAACCATGGGGATGCACGTCAGATCACTGAACACTTAAAACACGACTGTATGTTAAAAATGGCTACGATTGCAAATTTTGTTATACATATTTTACAACTACAAGTTAAAAAGACCCCACATGATAAGACCTTCGGGATGGCGATTCTAGTGCAATAGGCAGAAACACTCTTCAGTGAAGGATAAACAGCACTGAGTCATCAAAATCTGCACATTCCGCGTACTGAGGCGTCTACAACGACCGGGAGGAACCTGAAGGGGAGCACCACAGCTCCGTAGGCACTAAATTCACAGCGTGCCCTTGGGAGGTGTGCAGTCAAAGGTATCCGTTCTCAGTAAGAACGGTGCCACCCCCTTTGGGTACTTTGACTCATCAGCAGGCAGCGCAGAGCGGACGCTGGGCATGCCGTGCTCACAGCGGCAGCTCCCGGGGCGTGGACACCCCACCCCACACGCCGGCTTCTCCTTCGCACCCTGAGCCCACCCCTTCAAGGTTTCAAGTCCTGTTTCATGCACTGTGTGGAGAACACACTGGGCTGATGGCCTCCGGCGAGTCTCCTGTCTGCCGAGAACCAGCAGCAGCAGGGCCCATCCGCGCCCACACGGCACCGACATTCTCACAACGACTGCCCGTCATGGCAGCAACCGGGAGGACAGTGAGGCGGGTATGGTCAGAAACCAGGGCCCCAGGCGGGAGCTGGGATGGGAGGGGCGAGTGAGGAGGACACTTGCAGGCCAAGCCCAGCTCCCACCTGGGAAGGACACCTTACGTGGAAATTCCCAAGCACCCCTCTGCACGGCTGCATGACGGTACCAAAGAAATGTCTTCCCTCCCCTTTTTCACTGGAGGGGACACCAAGACGCCAAGCGGAAGACAGGTGGGGGCCCAGGTGTTTGCATCCCCCACCACCGTCTGCACAGTCTCCCGGAGGTGACAGCACAGCCTCACGGCGAGCAGCCCGGACTCCAGGGCAGGAGGAGGGACGGAGTCATGTAAACTTGGGTCGGTCCCCTCAGCGTTTCTACGCCAGGGCGGAACAGCCTGGGTGGTAGACACGAGCTGGCCAGGGTCCCCCTGTAGTTGACAGATGCAAAGGGGGGTTTTCAAGGCTCCTGCAGGTCACTCACCAGGGGCAGCTGGAGGGCAGTCACCTGCTGTGCGTCCCTCAAGCTCGGGTCCTGGAGGGAGGAGTCTTGTGGAACTGAAAGAGATGAGAAAAAGGCATCTCATAACCCCAGGTCTCTTTCCTCACCTGCAAAGGGAGGATTAGAAGATGGTGCACAAAAAAAGCTTTGGAAAAACCACAGGATTTGTTAGTTTCAGGCACAATAAGGGGACTTTAACAGGGAATTCCTGGGCTCCAGCTGGCCCTGCCACCAAGTTGGGATGCAGCTTCCCACAGGTGCAGGGGCCTCTCCTTCATGATCCGAAATCAAGAGAAAATAAAGGTTACAGCTCTGGGTCAAGGCAGCAGGAAGAGCTGCCAGCAGCGCAGACTGTGGGGCGGCAGGGCCGGTACACGCGCGTGCACCGCTGAGTTACCAACTGCCAACTCCAGACCGGGACGTGTCTCAGTGCCCTGATCACCACCCCCAGAAGGTGCAGAGTACAGCCCTGGGCCTCCTCACGTGGCGACCCCGGGGCCTGGGGGCAGGGGCCCCCTTCCAGCGGGACCTGGCTCAGGCTTCTGTAAGCAAGTTAGTCTTGGACCCGGCCCAGGGTGCAGCTGCGTGACAAGAGGCTGTTTCCAAGGTGCTCCTTTCGCAGGAGAGGACTCAGAAAGCTGCACTGTCGCCTCCCAGTCTCCTGAAGGTTGAGCCCATGTCACACATTCCATCAGTGTCAAGACTGACACACAAGTCAGCGTCCCTCACCCTTCAGACCCAGGTGCAGCAGGGACAGAGAGAGCTATTTAGAACAACGGTCCGGACCAGGAGGCAGCCTGCCCACTGCGGGGAAGCTGGGCGCCGCGGTGGGTGGGGATGGGTGGGGACGAGGGGCGATTTCACCTGCGCTCACCCCTGCTGCCTTCTGGGGCGGACGGTGGCTCCACCCCTTTCCCAAGGGATGCGAGTGCGCAGACACTTGAGCAAATCGCTGTGGAAAGCTTTCAGCCTCTAAACAAGACCCAGCTTCTTAGGGAGACTTTCAAGGTTAGGAACTACATGGGTTTTTTTGTTGTTTTTTTTTACTGGAGGCTCATCCCAATGATCATCCCTCAGGTGTCTAAGGCCTTCCTAGTAATTGGCTCACCAGGTCTCTGCCCCTTTATTACTGCTCAGGAAAAATGGGAGCCCAGCCGCCAAACCTGCCGCCCAGCCTATGGGTGGTAACTGTCTTGCCTCCCAACCTCCCTGAGAAGCATCAGCATGGGCTGGGGAGCCACTCTTAGGGGCGTTCTTGCCCCTACAACCTGCACAGCCCAGGCTGCCTGTACACACAGGGTTTATTTGGAGCTGATGGTCCTTTCCTTATGCCTGTCGTTACAGGCTAATCTGTGTCCCCACCAAATTCCTATGCTGGAGTCTCAACCTCCAGGATCTCAAAATGTGACTATTTGGAGATGGGGGTCTTTCCAGAGGTAATTAAGTTAATAAACACCTTTAGGAGTGACCCTAACTCTACTTGACTGGTATCCTTGTAAAGAGAGACTCGGACACGCGCAGAGGGACAACCCCTTGAGGACAGAGGGAGATGATGGCCACCCGCACGCCAAGGAGAGAGGCCTCCGAGGAGCAGGCTTGCCCCCAGCTGCACCTCCGACTTCCAGCCTCCGCCGCTGGAAGCAAAGAAGTGCCTGGGCCTGAGCCACCTCATCTGCGGGACTCGGTCCGGACATTCCTGGGGAACGGACACAGCCATCTGGGCTTTAAACAAGGTGAGGCTGGAGTCATACACAAGTCAATCTCGTTTCACCTACAAAGAAATTTAACATTGTCTTTTAAGATTAAAAACTCACTGCAATGCCAAGGGCAGCTTCTGTGAACCGCAGGGGCACCCCGGGCCGCCTTGCCTCTGCGGGTCATCTCTGGCACTGGGTTCACCGAAGAGCTCCCTTGGTTTTGTCCTTTAAGGTGGCTCTAGTAGCACTTTTACTTCATTCGAAACAGTTTTGTTAGATTTTATATTGTGACAGACGTCATATCAACATCCATTTTTTAAAAAGCATCAAAATGGGTGAATTTTTGCGTAGCCATTTTAATATTGAAGATGGAGGAAAATATATAACATTTTCAGCATGTTTTATTACTTTAAGAAAAGTAAAAATGCAACTGGAATGCAGAAAGATTTGTGCGGTGTATGGGGAAGGTGCTGCGACTTATTCAATGTGTCAAAAGCGGCTGGCGAAATTTTGTCCTGGAGATTTCTCAGTGGACAATGCTCCACAGTCAGGTAGACCAGCTGGAGTTGAGAGTGATCAAATCGAGACATTGAGAACCATCAATGCTCTACCATGTGGGAGATGGCTGACATTCTCAAAATATCCAAATCAATCCATGAAAATGAAAAATGTGTCTTATTTTATGGAAAAACCCATAGGACTTTTTGGCGAGCCCCACACAGTGTGGAAAGCCTGCCCAAAGCAACCCCTGCACCGCACAGGGCGCTTGCTCGACCTGAGGGCACCACGGCTCCCCAGGAGGACGAGGTCAACTCCAAAACGCCGCTGGCTCGGCCTGGGCTCCACGTCGTGTGGACACATTCCTTTAATCCCCAAGACGGGCAGCGATCGCCTCCTTGGATGGACCAGGAGACCAAGGCCTGCAGGGTTTAGAAGCCTGCCCCAGGTTACAGCCAGAGGATTCAAAGTCAAGTGTACCTGGGCCAAAGCCACCTGCCTGCAGCCACCAGTGTACTCTGTACAGACATTCAGAAATGGCCAGGGGACATCCAAGCCCCAAACCCTGAGACACCTACCTACCTGTCCCCTCTGAGGGTGTTTTTGGACTTCCTGCAGCTTGGCAACACGCCTGAGGTCAGGGGTTGTTTAGCTGGTAAAGACGGGCTCAGGGAGACGAGTGGACATGGCCACACTCCGTTCCCGACACAGCCCCACGGGACAGCCAGTGCCCAGCTGTCCCCACAGGGAGAGGGCGGGGCAGCCTCAGACACTCCCTACGGCATTAGTCCCTCTGGGTGGACTGGGCAACAGGAAAAGAGCACACTCCCTGCGGGGAGATTCGGATTCAATCCCTCCGGGGAGGAACCCAGCCCTGGGAAGTGGTTTATGGCTCTTCAGGGAACTAAAGAGAACTGTTAAGGTCAGGAGCCACGCCAAGGCACAGGGCGGGGCATGCAGCCTCCTCCCCCACACCCCCAGGCTACCTACCTGGGTCCCCGCTGAGCTGGCCCGGCAGTCTGCTCAGGAGCCCTGGGCCCTGTGGCAGGGCGGCAGGCTGGGCTTCCTGGCTCTTTGCGATGTGGCTCTGGGGCTCTGCTGGCAGCGGCTCCTGCTCCTGGTCGCGAGGACCATCCCCGTCATCAATCACCACTGGGTCCTCGCAGTGCTTGAGCTGCAATCCCAGAGAACGTGGTGTCTCAGGAGAGGGCCCCAGGCAGCAAGGGCCAGCGGCTGACCACTGGAGGCTCCGCCCAGGCCTCAGACAGAGCTGGAAAGGGGGATGGCTTATCTTCCCCCTAATTAGAGCCTTGAGAGAATGCAGCGAGCTTTGCTGAGACCAACATTCCCGTGGGCCCAACGAGAGCACGGAGTTCCAGACACAACATCCCACCCCCCACCCCCCAGGGCCCTGCACTTGGCCCGAGTCAGCTGTGCCCCTCGCCCCCCGCCCGCCCCCGCCGCCCGGCGCGGCTGCCCGCTTACCCACTGCCAGGGTCTGCCCGGCTCCCGCTCCAGCGCCTCCACAGCAGCCACCGCCTGCTCTCCGCTCTCAGGCTCCTGGGCTCGCACCCAGCCCTGGATCTCGCGGGGCAGGATGGCCAGAAACTGCTCGAGCACCAGCAGCTCCAGGATCTGCTCCTTGCTGTGTCGCTCCGGCCGCAGCCAGCCCCGGCACAGGTCCCAGAGGCGCTGCAGGGCCTCCCGGGGGCCTGCCGCCTCCTGGTAGCGGAAGCGGCGGAAGAGGCGGCGGGAGGACTCTGGGCTGGGAAGCTCGCCCTGGGGGCCAGGGCTCTCTCCCGGTGGGCTCCTCATTTTCCTGGGCTCCTCACTTTCCTTTGGAGCCAACACTCGGGGGCACAGGGCTGTGGGCATGATGGGATTTGATGGGGGTCAGCAGCAGAAGACGACCCTATTTCCAAACAGAAATCACTGGCTTCAATGCTCTGGTCTCCTGCAGCAGGTGTTGGGGGTGGTGATGGGGAGAGCGACACGGCCCAGAGACCACCCTTGGGAGAAGCACCGGGGCCTGCGGGAAGGGCCGGTGCAGCTGGTCCTCGCACAAGAGGGCAGGAGGGCGATGCCACCCCACTGCGGCCTCGGGATGCGATCCCCTAACTGGCCAACGGGACAGACAAGGCAGGGGGTCCAGGAGAAAAGCAACGGTCTTTCACTGTGCCGACGGCATTCGGAGCGTCCAGGACACGTACAGGGCTACGTGCAGGAGAGAGAAGGAATTAAGACTCTGGGGTACCTTCGGGGGCCGGGCCCTCCTGGAGAGGACCCGAGAGCGTCGAGCCAGGCGGGCTGCTATCTTGGGGCTTCTGAGCCAAAGTCACCGTCCTTGCCCTGGAGACCTTCGCAACATGAGCTGGAAAGACAAAGACAGGTTCGCAGGGAAGAGCCAAGAGGGTGTGCGGGGGATGGGGGACGAACCTGCTAGCCAGGGGCCAGGCCAGCGCTGGTGCTAGACCTGCTGGACAGACAGCGCACCCACTCTTCCCTGCGGGGGCGGGGCAGTGAGGGGTGAAGCATGTGGCTGAGAAGATACCTACACAGGAAACAGGGCAGTCAAAAGTGACCGCCACACTGAGATTCCTGGAGGAAAGTAACGCTGTATGTTTAAAAACCCCAGCACTTTCAGATCAGCCTCCCCCAGCTAAGTCTAAACAGTGAAATTTAAGCCTCTGTTTAAAGATGCCTGACCTTGCCTTCACCACCTTCTCTATGCTTGTCATCTTTTTTTTTTAAAAAAAAGGTTTGTTGTTTTTTAGAGAGAAGGGAAGAGAGAAAGAGGGAGAGAAACATCAATGTGCAAAAGAAACATTGATCAGTTGCCTGTCGCATGCCACCCACCGGGGACCTGGCCTGCAACCCAGGCCTGTGCCCTGACTGGGAGCTGAACCCAGAGCCCTTCGGTTCACAGGTCGGCACTCAGCCCACTGAGCCACCAGCCAGGGCTCCCTGAAGGCATAATGAAGGCACCTGCACACACCAAAGAACACTTGCCAGGCGTGACAGAGGCGGGGACCCCCATAAGAGCCCAGCGGAGCTCAGGGCCCCTCCATCGCCCCGGGGCACGCACAGAGGGCGACATCCGAGAATGACAGCACACTCACTGACTAGGGGACCCAGAGAAAGCCCCTTCTCCACCCCCAGGCCTCTGAGACCACCGGGCAGTCACTGGACCTCCACACCCGGAGTGCCTGAGGGCCCCAGCTCAACCTTCGCCCCGCACCGCTCAGCGGCTCACAGGGGCCCATGCGGAGTGCAGGCCTCGCTGCTAGTCAGGGAAGAGTGACGAACCTGCAGTACGGCAGTCGGAAAAACCCAAGTGTCCGGACCGCTTTGCTTTCCAAGGGAAAACAGTCTAGCAGAAAAGGACGGAAGGAGTCTGGCTGGGCCCCTGGCCCCTTTCAGCGCGCCCCATGTACACCTTCTTCAGGACCGGCTCCTGCGTCAGGAACCAGTCTCGACTACACCGCCCCGAAGGCCCTGAGCTCAGCCGCCACACCTGCAGAAGCCCTGGGGGCTCCGGTCTGCCCCAACCTGAGGGAGCCAGGCTCCACCCTCGGCGCTCAGGTCGGTGTCCGGTGTCCGCTGAGAACCAGCCCTAACCAGACAACGGCGTTCCTCTTTGTCACCCGGGCACCTGGCCGCTGGAGACTCAGGAGCGATGCCTGATGAATGAACGACCGTAGGTCCCAGAGGATCCCCGCGGGGCGGGCGGGGCGGGCGGGGCGGGGCGGGGCCGGCCAGACGGGACAGGACGGGGCGGGACGGGGCGGGCTTCCAGGAGCAGGGACAGCGCGGGATCAGCAGAAAGGAAAGGGGAGGGCATTTTAGGCTAGGCCAGGGAAAGGCCGAGCATTTCCCCGCTCCCTGTCTCCCGCTTCCCCCGCAGCGCGCGCCCGCGCGCGCACCACACATTCACGCGCGCGCACCACACATTCACGCGCGCCCCCTCCCCTCCCCCCTCCCCCCCGCAGTGTGGCCAGTTCCCGGCTCCTCACCTCACAGCCTGGAACTCCTTCCCCGCGTCCAACTCAAATCGCTCCGACTGCCGCGTTAGTCTCCGCAGCCGATCCTCATCCTTCCCCGCCGGCCTCCCGGTGTCCTTCCCGAGGCGGGCTCTCTGCAGGGCCCGACTCCGTCCCTGGCCAGCCAAGCCCCGTCTCCTGCTCATCCAGAAAACCACGGTTCCACTTGGGAGGGGAGAGTAAGAACAGATGCAGGCGCCTGAAAAACAATATTGGTGTTGCTTTACCCGCCCCGCCCCGCCCGCGGATCCACCGACGATCGGCTCCGGGATGGGGGGCGCACGGGGCCGAGGGGCGCGCTCGATCGGGGGGCGCGAGGCCGGGAATCCGGGGTGCTTGCGGCTGGAGGAGGGAGTGGGAGGGCGCCGCGCGGGCCGCAGGAGCCCGGCCAAACTCACTGCTGCAACGCGTCCCCGTTGGCGGGCCGCGCAGGCTTGGCCGCTGCCGGAGCCCGCCGGACGCGGAGGAAAGAAAAGGCCGGACCCTCCAGCTCCCTCCCCTGGGACACTTCCTGCTCCGCTCTAGGACCGCGGAGGTCTCGGCGTCTCAGTGGTTCGCTCCCCGCCCCCCGGCCGAGGTGTGCGCAGGGGTGACATCCGACACCCCCAGCCCGGCTCGTGCGCCGCCCCGCCCCTCTTCGCGCGCGTCCGGGCCGTGGCGCCGGCCAGGGTGTCCGCCCCGCCGCCAGGCCCAGCCTCCGCGAGGCCTGGGGCGCGCCCGGTGGGCTGGGGGCGGGGGCGTAGAGGGCGCGGCGGGGACGGCGCCCGCAGGCGGTGGCCGTAGACACTGTCGGCGGAGGACGCGCGGTGCCGATTGGTGTCTGGGCGATCCTCTCCGCCGTTCTCTCCACTCCCGCGCCCCAAGGCTTGTGGATGCCCGGAACGACCGATCCAGGGCTGGGGCTGAAGGTTGGAAAGGGAGCTGCTCCTTTTAGGAATCCCTTGTGACCGCCCCTGGCAGGCGCCACCCCCTGATGGCCAGAACCTGTTCTAGGAGCCGGCTGCGGCCACCGAAGAGACGGGAAGGGCAAGAGAAACGCAGACCCCTTCTCTCTGCCTCCCCCGCCTTGGGACATCCGAGGTGTCAGCTTGCACTTTCTTGGGCTTAAACAGATTTGCCGAGTTTCAGTTTAAGGAAGGTTGCCCGCTGCACGGCCCTTCTGAGGACAAGGCTGGGGAGCGCGCGGAGAGTCACTCCGAGCGGCTGGCGGGGGAGCTCGGGGCTCTCAGCTCAAACTGAGCCAGAGGCACAGGGGGAGGTTAGAGGCCTAGGGAAGGGGCAGTGAGGGGCAAGCAGGAATTAGGGCCTCCAAATCCCCCAACACTACCCCATGCTGAATATAGCCCCTGAGTCACCCTTAACCTTCCAGGTTCCGGAGTATGGGAGGGAGAGTGCCTCGGGCCCCCTGAGCAGATCTGATTCCCTCCTACGTACTGCTCTGTCCACCGGCCCTGAAGTTAAACTCTCCCGGGGAACAGAGGGGCAGAGAAGAGTCTCTGAGTAGCAAGCACTGGAGGGTCTCCGACCGCAGACACCTGTTTTCAGCCAGACGCTGATGCCAGGGCAAGCAGAACAAACCAATCCGTTCCCTCAAAGAATATGGCCAGCTAAGTGGGTGAGGGCCGGGTGGGTGGGTCGAGACTCCAGCCCCTTTCCCTGCGCATCTTTTCCATATTTGGTCTGGTGCCCCTGTTTTTTTAAGTGACAAACTATCACTGCGGGCTGGTGGAAGTTACTGGGAGTTGCATCTGTCAGACACCTGGGCTCTGACTCCAGCAAGAGATGGAGGAAGGCAAAGGAGTGAAGCTCTTTTTAGCGACCAGTGATTGTTCCTCCAAACAGTCACCCAGGGATCTCACCTGGAACCTGTGGATGCCAAAGGGAGCCACCCCTGTCTGACTTCACCGAACCGTGCCAGCCCGCACCCCTGCCCACGCCAGGAGCCCTGGCCAGCTCCGTTGAGGCCATGCAGCCAGAGGAGAGGGCCCCCCTGGGTGAAACCAGGGACCAGCCAGGTAGCCTGGACGATGGGCTTGAGCAAAATCCCAGCCTGTGGCACTGCGGTGAGCGCCCAGCCCGGAGACTGGCCGGGGGAAGCTGTGCTCCTCGCTCCGCCTCTCTGTGGTCCTAAGCAGGTAAAAGGCTGGACCCAGAGTTTGCCAGCAGGCAACGGCAAGTCAGTCCCCACTGCCCAGCCCAGCTCCTTCCCCTGAAATGACACCTCCCTGCAAACTGGTGATCCATCTCAGCTCAGAACTTGCCCTTATTTTGCATTTGTCCTGTGTTTTGCTAGGCACCTGGGTGAAGGCGTCTCCTTGACTCCTCACCCGGTGATCTCAGGCCTACTTAACCTTTCTGCAGCTCAGTTTCCTCATCCAGGAAACAGAGCTAATGCTGTTCACCTCATTGGGTGGGCATGGAATCCGTCATCACTCTACAAACATACTGAGCCACCTACCAGGCTTTCTTAGTGCGAGGCGACTTTCCAGATGCTCAGGGAACATCCATCAACACAACTAGCTGCTGCGGGGAGAGAGGGCGCAAGCAGCTGGCAAAGTCGATGCCATGACTGGCCAAGTTTGATCCGTGCTGCAGAGGACAAGGAAAGTGGAGCAGCATCGAGTAAAGGTATAAAGAAGCCAGGGCAGGCTCCGTCGCCACGGTGACATCTGGGATGAGGGAGCTGATTAAGCTCAAGCCTGGATAAGAACAGGGGGCCTAAGGGGAGGAGGGGTGCCACAGGGTGGTGGCCAGTGAACAAGGGGGCGGGGTGTCTGAGCTGGTGGGGGCACTGGGAGCCGTGGAGATGCTTTCCCCGGCGCCAAGTGGGGCTGCGTTTGTTGCCGGCCGAAGCACCAGCACGGGGCTGAGCCCTCACCTTGCTGAAGGCCCACCGGGACTGGGCACGTCTTTGGTTTATGTAACCACTGCTGGTTGTGGGTGTCTTTATAAAGTGCTTGCTGTGTGTCACCGGTAGCTCCATCCCTGGGGAGACTGTGGTGGACAGAAGATCCTGGCTTCTGAGAGATGGAAGGAAAATCAGGAAATGATAAATGACTCTTCAATAGATGCCACTGGTGACAACGGCAGGAGGAGCCGCCACAGCCGCCGGGTGGGACCTCTGCAAGGAGATGGCACCTGAGGGCGTGGCAGGTGGAGGGGGGGCACTGCGGTAGATGGGCAGAGGGAGCAGCACCTGCGAAGGCCACGAGGCAGGAGCATGGCCCCGCTGGGGCACTGGCAGTGGAGAATACCCAGGCCAGGGAGCTGCCACGGGATTCGAGCAGGGCGTGGCTCGACCTACTGTCCTTTACCGTGACCACTGTTCCGAACAGGATGGAGCAGAGGCAGGTGCCACGTTTAAGGGGCAGCAGAACGGCAGGCAGGAGAGGGAGATCCCGCAGCTGGCCGGCAGACTGCTCCTCCCTGTGCGGGGCGGCCTTCGAATGAGGAACAGCTGTGGCTGGGCCTCGCTGGGCCCCACTCAGAAAGCAGGCATCCGGGAGGGCGCGGGGGAGGGTGGTGGGTTTTGTCTCTCTGGGTCTGAGATGCCCGAAAGACAAGCAGTGAGTTGGGTCCAGACGTGGAGGCAAGCATCTGGGAGAAGGGCGAGGCTGGAGCGCAAACCTGGAATCGGCCGTGGAGACCGGGGTGGGCGTGGGCGATGGGAAGCGGCCTCTGAGGGACGAAGGACGAGGTCTGGAGACGGAGGAGGAGACAGGGAGCAAGGGCGGGGCAGGGGGGGCACGGGGAGAGCGAGGCGTGGGAGGCGGGCACAGCCTCGCTGAGGTGCAGGAACACACGACGGGAGGTGTCCAAAGGCCGACAGGCAAATGCGATTTAGGAAACGGGCGGTCGGGCGTCAGTGCGGTTCAAGGTCCAGTTAGAGGAGGAGAAACGCTGCCGGGGTCTCTGCCGCAGGCTCCGGCGGAGGCCGAGGGCAGAGCGGAGGCGCGGAACCGCTGGGCCGGCGCAGCGTGGCGCCGTGAGGGAGCGGGGACGCGGCTGTGGCCCGGGGCCTGGGCCCCCTAGTGACGTCGGGGGAAATTAGAGCAGGCCGGCCGGCCGGCAGGCAGGAGGGGCGGGGCGCGGGCCGCAGGCCAGGGGGCGCTGGGCGGGGCGGCGCGCTGAGTGCGGGGTGGACCCGTGAGTGCTCCGCCGTCCAGGCCGGTGAGAAGCAGAGCCTGGGGGGTTCACCTGACATGTCCGCTTGCCCAGGCCACAGCGGCCAGGCATTTGGTCAAACGCCATTTGTTTTTATGGGATTCACATTTAAATTAGTAGTTCTGAGTAACGTGGGTGGGCCTCACCCCGTCTGTGGAAGCCCTTAGGAGTGAAGACTGAGGTCCCCAAGGAAGGGGACTGTGCCTGCAACCTGCCTCCAGACGCAAGGCCTTCGCAGCACCTCTTCCGCGGCGCCACCTGGCCGGCCTGCCGCAGCAGACTTCAGACTTGCCGGCCCCGTCGTGGGTGAGACGGCCCCTTAGGTCTCTCTCCACACCGCCACCCCCCTCCCCCTTCCTCGTTCTGGGGAAAGCGCCGACCAGCGCACCGGCGGAGAGGAGGTGTGGCCGGTGCGGAGGCCGGTGGTAGTCTGCTGCCCGCTGGGGCTCTGTGTTAGCAAGGTTCTCACAAGACAGGCCTCCCAGCTGTCCCAAGGGGGCCGCTACCTATTTTTATGCTTTCCTTTTCCTTCTGCTGAAGGCAAGAAGACTTTAAGAACTAAACATAGGCCCACAAGCTTACTGCACAGGGCTCCAGTGGCAGCACCTCTAAAACGGCCCAGCTGCCACTGGAGAGAGTTGCCCTCCCTTTCCTTGAAATCACGCGTTTGGTGCTGCAGTCAAGGACACAAGGTCAATACTGCAAACGTCAGTTTGGGGAGCTGTTCGTTAGCACTGGGGTGTTCGCCCCAGCTCAGCCAGACACCCCGGGACGGCTGTGGCCCGACAACCTCCAATGATGAACTCAGCAGCCCAGGGGCTGGCGTGAGCCTTGATGAAGGGTGATGGGCCACCTGGGGGACAGAGGGACCAAGGACGATGGCCAGGCAGCGGGGGTCACGTCCCTGCCACTATTTAGAGGTGGGCTTGGAGAGGGCATCCACTGGGGGTCCTAGGCTGTCAGGGAGGGACAGCTTGGCCACGGAGTCCCAGAGGACCGTAGGACGTCAATCCGGGGGTCTGTGGTAAGAATGCGGGGCCGCCTGGCTTGTCACAGCAGCTGCAAGGCTCGGGGAGGCCCTGTTCCACAGTGTCCGTCCTGCTGCCTGGCACCGTCTCGGTCCTCAGGATTCTCACGCATTGGTCCTGGACGCGATGCAGCGGGCAGGAGAGCACGGCCCGGATTGCTGCAGTTCTATGGATGTTTCTGTTTACATGAGTTTCATCCTTTCTGTCTGCTCTTTCCATGAGGCTAGTCCCAGGATCCTGGAGTTTCAGGATGAAAAGTGAGCTCAGAGAAAGGAAGCGGGTTGAGGACCTGGTGGTACAGGTGTGTGTGGCGGGGGTGG